CAAGATTTAAAAAAGTATGACTTTAATTTAGAAGCTTGAATTTTATCTTTGGGGACCAAAACTGTGAGTTCTCCTTTAAATGATAGCCTCATTTAAAAGCTGGATTTTTTAAAAAAAATATTTTTATTGACTTCAGAGAGGAAGGGAGAGGGAGAGAGAGAAAGAGAAAGAGAGGAAGAGAGAGGGAGAGAGAGAATCATTGATCTGCTGGCTCCTGCACACCCCCTAGTGGGGATCAAGCTGCCACCCAGGCATATGCGCTGACCAGGAATCGAACCCAGGACCCTTCAGTCCTCAGGCCAATGCTCTATCCACTGAGCCAACTGGCTGGGACTAACCTTTTTTTTTTTTTTCAAATGAAATAGGCCCAACTGGTATGGCTCAGTGGTAAACATAAAAATTATTTTAAAAAATGAGCATTTCAGACGTTTAGCAGGTGTGTGCAGCTGGTGGCTATTCTACTGGACAGAGGAGTTTAGATGCATTCATTCAAACGTATCACTTCGGCTGCATTCATTCATTGAGTCCCCATCCCCATGTTTTTGTGACCTCATTTTACAGATGAGAAACGTTGAACACAGGAAGAAAACAGCTGAGCTGGGATCTGAACCGCCAAGCTCAGGTAAGTGTAGGTCCAGAATCAGGTCTCCCAAACTCTCTCAAGACCCTATCTCCCTCCAAATACAGTCATGTTCTGGGGTACTGGGGGGTGAGGATTTCCACATGGGAATTTGGGGGGACGCAATTCAGCCCACATCACAGATGTTACATTTTTGTGATTACCAGAGCAACATAGGCCCCCCCATAGAAAAACTGGAAACTTCAGAAATGAAGGCACTAAGGTTAGAATCTCTGCAGAAATTGCATTAATTGTTTTGTCACAGGGTCTGCAAAGGTTAGCCATGAGAGTTCAGATTTAGAAGGAAATTTTTAAAAATATATTTTTATTGATTTCAGAAAGGAAGGGAGAGGGAGAGAGGGATAGAAACATCAATGATGAGAGAGAATCATGGATTGACTGCCTCCTGCTCACCCCCCACTGGGGATGGAGCCTACAACCCGGGCATGTGCCCTTGACCGGAATCGAACTTGGGACCTTTCAGTCCACAGGCCAACACTCTATCCACTCAGCCAAACCGGGTAGGGCTAGAAGGAAATTTTTAAAAGAAAGCACTCCAAAATGAACAAGTCATAACACCTCCCAGAAGGTACTGCGATATTAACTAAGCTGGGTTTAGGTCAACCGTGGGCAAACTACGGCCCGTGGGCCGGC